GAGAACTTTCCGGATTGTTTAAGAGAGAGAGAGAGAGAGAGAGAGAGAGAGTGGGGGAGAGAGAGAGGGAGAGAGAGAGATTGCGAGAGAGAAGGAAAGTGTGAGGGAGAGATCGTGAGCTACCTTGATCATCAAATTCTTAAAAATTAATTCTAAATCTAAAAACTAAATCTCGCAATAAATGCGAACTACCGTAACCCAAGAACCGTCTCTATCCTTTCGCAACCCCGAACGAACCTAAAATAGGTACGTTACAGAGTATTTTTCCCTGCCGTGGGCGGGCCAGAACAGAAATATGGAAATCCCTCATTTTACTGCTGAGGTCGGACCCCGATTTGCAGGAGGGCAAAAAGCAGCGTTCACCCCGGTCGCCCTGAAACACACGGAAAACTGGGTAATCCGCTTCTTTCGCAACTTTTGCAACCGGGAGTTTGGTGTTATACGTACTTAAAACAGAGAAAAATGCAAGTAAGTAAAATTTCGTCAAACTATAAAATTATTTTTGAAAGTTTGTATAATAAGGCGAGACAAATGAATTGCAAAAAACGCAAAAAAAATTTACATCGAAAATTCAGCGTGGCTTAAATCTAGAAGTATAATTTTTTAGAATCAAAATCCCCAAATTAAGTGTGTATGACTACGAAAATCTTCTGTATTAAAGATATAACAGGCATTTAAGACAATCAAAGTATATAAAATACTAAAACCAACGCAACGCAAAAACGCAAAACGCAAAAACAACAAAAAATTGGCGAAAATTTGCATAGCAAGCGCTGTCTTAAACTCGGCCCAAATTCCCGTAGATACCGTAACCCGCTGCCGCGACAGTCCCGTGTGGGCCAACAAAAATCGCCAATTAGTTCCGCTTTCAGCCCTTGGGACACATTTCGAAATAAGGAAAAAAGGGGGGCCGCGGGAAAATGGGAAATTTCGGGTCGCCAAGGCAACGATCTAGCGGGCAACTAGCTTCCCCTAGGGACCGACAAGCCCCAGATCGCATGGTTTTGATAAGTTGTTGCTCATCGTCATTGCCATAAAAAATTATTTCGGGTAAATTAGCATTGATTCAATTGCCGCGATTCATTTTGTACATTTTTGTACTGTTCACGCCTCAGAAACTCCCGAAAAATGGCGTATATTGACGTATTGGGCCTTTTTACGTCCTGAAAATTGCCTAGCAATTTCATTTTCTGTATTTTCGTTGATAAAGCTTTATGATTTTTATTTTGCTGAAGTTTTCCTGCAAAAGGCAATTTCCAGCTGGCTACTATGTACGAATTCCATCGTGAGGTGAAGCTGAACCAGGGAGCCGGAGGATCTTTTTCGAACAACATTTCTGTACATTATCACGAGGGCAAAAATATCACTTATGGATCGGTGTCGCATAGAAGTACGGTACGTAGAGCTTTTTAGAAAGTCCAACTATCAGGTTGGAACGAAAGTTCTGTCGCCGAGATTTTGGAAGGCTGGCTAAATTCGTAGATAGCTCTATTCTGGACATGCGATATGTCATTTTGTAGCTATCGGCCTGAATGGTTCCGGGAGGAGGGTCCTGGGCCCTGAATCAAGAACACAGATATTTAGGCCCAAGAAGATTTTTTTATCATATTACATTTTCAAACATTTGACGGACAGGTGCCGAAAATTACCGCTTTATTTTTGGACTAGCGGCGCGGATTTTGAAAAAAACGTATGGGAAATCGCGAAAAGTTCTAAGGAATGGGCCAAATTTCAAGAAGCCATATCTCGGCCATCCAGTGTCCAATTTTGATGATCTCAACATCTATTGATATCTAACTCTCGAGAGCTATCGATTGGCGTTAAAGGTATTGCATGCAAATGTCTCTATGCAGAGATAACTGGCAAAAACACTTTCTCGTAATTTTTGAAAAATCTTCTTGGGCCTGCATCTCGGCCGTTCTTGATTTTCAGGGCCCAGGACCCTCCTCCCGGAACCATTCAGGCCGATAGCTACAAAATGACATATCGCATGTCCAGAATAGAGCTATCTACGAATTTAGCCAGCCTTCCAAAATCTCGGCGACAGAACTTTCGTTTCAACCTGACATCTCTCACTATCGCGACCCTCTATTGTATTTTATTGTATATCGCGACCGACTAGATAGGTCGTGCTCAGGCTCTCAAGCTCCGCTAACTAGCAGAGATTCTTTGGGAGCCGATGGTAATTTTTAAGCGTATTTTTAGGTCAGCGTCTTCACGTGGGACCTGAAGCTCGAAAATATCACACAAGAAAACTGGCCGGTCCGCGATGTAAATACCGATAGGCAATGTATGGTAATTCAGGTACGTTCTAAAATTGGCGCCGTATTTTTACCACATTGGCACTTTAGAAGACTTTCTATTGAAAACCACGATTTACTCTTTTCAGGCAAAATTCGTACACCCAAGCTGTCGGACAAATCCGCTTCTCGTGATGGCCACAAATACAGGAGCTATGGTAATTCCTTATACCTAATGAATTTCTGAATTAAGGTATACTGTGCCAAATCGCAGAAATTGTTGGCCTGGAATCCGCTGGATATTGCTGTAAGTGTTACCACATTTAACGGCTCTTTCCTGCCCCAATTCAAAGCGTTTGGTCTTTTTTAGATGTCCGAGGTCTTGGTATGCAACGAATCGACCCTCTTTACAAAAGGGATCACATGGGTGGACAATACGGTGCTTGTCGGATCGTACACTGGCGAGATTCTGGTGTTCCAGTGCAGCGGAGAGAATAGTGTCAATGTGAAGAAGCCGTTGATGGTAGGGAATTTGTTTTTTTTTTGGCTTGGGCAGGCTAGCAGAGACCTTTGAGGAAAACAGCCAACGGGATGACAGCTTTTTTTATCAAATTTAAAGAGGAAGGGGAGCGCTAGCATCTAGCCGTCGAGATCCAGTCGAGTTGGGGCGATTTTAGACTTTATCCGTCCCTTTAATCCCACTAGCTTTTCAACGTCATCTTAAATTTTGAATTCAGGAGCACCGAGAGCCGATCTGCGACCTGGCCACCTGCCGATTTGACGACCTGACCTGTTCGGCGGACATGGGCGGAACTGTGATTGTATGGGGCACGAAGTGCAAGAGCGCGGCGAAGAAGATTAGCACCGAGTAAGTTGCAGAATTCAAGCGGGTCAAAAAATCGACCCTCTACCAACTGTGTTGCTACAGCTACGCGACACCAAATGACGCATACAAAAGCACGTCGATTTCTATTAACAATCACGTCTCTGAAGGCTAAGCCACGGCAATTGCATGCATATTTCGGCGTATCGCTTAATTGTCCAGACCTAGCCGCAGTAGGGGTAGATTCTGGCTTTTTTTGAAATATGTAAGGGGCGATAATTCCGAAAAAAATCTCTGCTAGCGTTCCTGGATTTATTTGTCGCAAGTTTCGATGAATTTAAATGGCATAAGAAAGGTAAACGTCAATACTTCGAAGCTATGCATGTTTTCCGAAGTAATGACTTTTCGAAGTAATGACTTTCGAAGTAATGATTTTCGAAGTAATGAATGGCAGCCGCATAAGAAAACCTAAACACATTTCCGAAAGAATCTCTGCTAGCCTGCCTTTATACACTACTTTAGACAGCCCATCAACGCGATCAACGTCTTGAGAAAGCAGTGCATAGTCGGGACGATTCGAGGGAAAATGCTGCTCTACGCTACCCAGAACGGCGCATTAATGGCAGAGATAGACTGTCACTGCCGGGCAGTTACACAGATTTCCGTGGCTCCGGAAAGCGCCTATGTACGTTTTCGTATATAGGCCCAGGTTTTCGATTTTTAAGATACTAACCGGTGGGGAAGACGGGACTTACCGGATATTCAAGTTACATACAAGGAAACCGGACGCATATCAGGTAAGGGAAAATTCATATTTTAGTCCAATCCACGATTTTTTTACGATATTTAGCTACCGTAACGTAATGGTTACGGTATTTTTCTCAACGTTAGATTGTCAGATTTTTTTATCCTTAGAGAACCTATTTAGAAAATACAAAAATAGACATTCAATGGAATTGAAGCCTAAATTGACGTTTCATTTGAAATTTTACAAAAATATTGATATTTTACAATTCTTAATAGCTATTTATCGTTTTCAATATTACTTTTTAGGTAGAATGGCGTCACTCAGACTCGATCCCCGACGAGATGCTCTCCGGATGCCAATTTACGAATGGTAGAGGCTCAGGAATCGTTTTTGTATCGTATGACCATGGCGGGGTGCTCTTCTACCGTATTGCCAAGAAGGGAAGACCAGAGGATAAAGACGAAAAGCCTCCAGTTCGAGAAGTTCAAGAAGAGCCGGAAGCTCCCCCCGCCTTCGGAGGCATAGATCAAAGTATACTCCATTATTTATTACTTCAATTAATTCATTACTTTTCACTACAAGATGCCGATCGATTTTGCTGTATTCTATGATATTTAAAGGGACCTTGAAGCCAGGGGCTAACTTGTGTTTTTCACCAAGTATTTGCCGTTTTTCGCCGCCTGTGATTTTGCGCTGAATCTTGAGATGCACTGTCAAATTTTATAAACATTATTAAGTTATTTGAATGGATAAAAGATTTTAATTACCTTCAATTTTGTCTCAATGACCGTATTTGCACTTTAAAGCACGGATTGTCGAGTCAGTCTAATGGTTTTGAGTTTCTAGGAAGTGATCTAAAGTGATATCTAAAATTGCTTGAAATAGTATTTCCGTTTAGAGACGGTATTTCACTTCCTAACGCCCCGGATAAAAGCTCTGATGACTTCCTATGTTGTCTTCATGATCAATTCCCCTCTCAAAAAACTCGGATTTAACACTGAATTTTAACGATGACTTATGAGGTATCCTCCAAATCCTCTAGCCTCTAAATCTCCATAAGACAGTCTTTCCCTTCCCACAGCGGCCCGGCTCCTAATAAAACGTCCGGTAGCTTTGGAAAAGAGGGAAGACCGCAACGCATGCGATAGACGCGTCGCGCAATTGCGAAAGCAGGCCTGCGCAGCTAAAAAGCGCTTGCTATTCCGCGCACCCGCACGCAACGCGCGAAAAACACGTACAGTACGCCCTTTCCCTTGAACCATCTGGACCGAACCCATGGGCGGTTGTGTTCCGATACGGTATTTCATGCCCTAACGCCCCATCCATCCGGGTTGCCTGCGGTGGAACGGCTCCACGAGACTCCTCTGGACACCGGGACGCCGTGCCCCCTGTCTGATCCATCCCCCATCCACCCGCTCTCTCACCCCCAGACGGCCCTCGCCGTCGATCAAGCGCCTACGCACCGCCTGCAAAAAAATGGACTCAAGGCCAAATACTTAACGGGATATACCTTAAAAAATTACGTCACTTATATCTGCCACTAAACTCTGCTATTCGCTACATCAGCAGTTTCTTAATATATTTACTTTTTTTTAGCATTAACTTATGCAAATTGCCTTCTAAGTTTTTTTTAAGTAAATAATAAGGTATCGCCTCAGAGTCATTTGCATGCTGCTAAGCTCGGTCAATAACTTTATCAGCGATTTCTGGCACCGTTAACCTTTATTTTTTACTTTTTAAATGTAAAAATTAACTTCTAACATTTTTTAAGTAGTTACCGAGTTGTTTAATATGGTTTTCAAACCTTATTTAATAGATGCTCAGCTGAAACCGGGGTAAGAGTTTACTTTACCCCCCCCCCCCACAGCCGAAGGGTCCCATAGGTGCAGGGCCGTAACAAACCCAGATTTCGGGGGGGGGGCGACCCCAAAAATTTTTCACTAATATGACTAAAACTACGGCGTCGCAGGCAAAATTTTTGAAAACATAGGGTTTATAACACTAAAACTAGTGTTAAAAATAGACAAAAACAGCGCCGCAGGCAAAAAATTTTTTGGAAAAATTAAATCATAAGGGTCCCCCCTTATGTACTTTTCGGCCTGCGGCCGATTTCGGGGGCGGCTCGCCCCCCTCGCCCCCCCCTCTTACGGGCCTGCATAGGTGTCGGTATTTTCGCTTATTTTTTCGGGATTTTCGCAACGCCATTCGATAGAGCGTCGAAAAATATACTAACAAGGGAAGGGCACATGCACAGGTTAGAATTTCGAAAAACGCTCGCGGCTACCCCGGGTAATCGACTGCGGAGAACACGATGCATGTCGTCCGATTTTCCTGCCGAGGCTTGTGGACAGAGATACGGCACTTCCGGAAAATCATGATGCGGAAATATTAGAATCCGGGGAAGCTTTAGGCTCTCCCATCGGTATGCAATCACCGGTCGAGTGGCCGATTGGTAACATCGCTTGGTAGGATACGACGGGTACGGATCGCCTCGTGATTTTTTCGTTTTGCTTTTGACCAAATTTTTTGCACAAGTCAGAACCTTTCTAAATGTGTAAAAAACGCTTTTTTGTGGCCTGTAATACGTCCTAGCAATCAAAGAAAAACTTTTTCGAAAATCCCTATTTTCCGACCCTCCACCTATCATCGGCTGCCGAACGATCAAAAATTCTGCGGAAAATTTTTGCAGAAGCCAAGCGTCACGCTCTCGTTTGGTTTTGTAGCACCTTATCCTGTTGCACGGCCCTGGCAAGTTGGTTAGACAGCGCTTTTATAAAATTTTTCCAGATTTTTTGAATTTGAAAGCCGGTGGATGGATGGGGTGGAAGTTTTCTTTGATTGCTAGACGTATTACAGGCCACAAAGGCGTCTTTTACACATTTAGGAAAGGTTCTGGATTTGTGCAAAAATTTTGTCAAAAAGCAAACGAAAAAATCACGAGCGGATCCGTACCCTCGTCGTATCCTACCAAGCGAGTTGCTTACCAATCGGCCACTCGACCGGCGATTGCATACCGATGGGAGAGCCTAATAAAGCTTCCCGGATTCTAATTTTTCGCATGCAAATCATGATTTCCGGAAGTGCCGTATCTCTGTCCACAAGCCTCGGCAGGAAAATCGGACGACAGCATCGTGTTCTCCGTAGTCGATTACCCCGGGGTAGCCGCGAGCGTTTTTCGAAATTCCAACCTGTGCATGTGCCCTTCCCTTGTAAGAGTTTGAATTTGAGCCTACAATAATGTAAAATAAAAAAGTTATAGCCAAAAACTTCCGGCTGGGGGGGGGGGTAAAGTAAACCGTAGCCGAAACGGGGTTTTTTTCGAGCCAAATATTGAGCTCGTTGGACCATTCACCTTCTTCGAGACACATTTAATCCAGTTAATCCGGTTTGCGTTATGAATTTAGCTTTTTTAATCTACTTCTGATTCTCTATCTACTAGGAAATGAATTTATTGCTGTGCAAGGCTTTATTGAGTTGAAGAAAACCCCCCTGGATTTTTGAAGTCGCATAAAATGGTCGGAATTTTTCTGGTTTAATTAAAGATTTCAACAAGAGTGTATTTTGTTGATTCTGGGCTCCAAACCCCCCCCCAAAAATTCGATTTTCTCCTGGAAACCTGGCATTAATCTTCTCGCCCCTCCCCTGACTCATCCAATTCCTCCGCCAGATTGACGTTAGAATGGGGCTCAAATCCCTTTAACGTCCCTAGGAATGGACGAAAAAAGCCCCAAGAGAAGGAATGATCGAAAATTTACCGGGTGCTTGTTGTGCCCGAATTTCATTGATTTTTTTGGCGAGGATCCGGGTCTTTTCCAAAAATCTGCCTTCCTAGCCCCTTTAAAAACTAGGGGATGATGACGGTATCAGAACCGGCGGATTTTAATTTTCCTGAAAATTTACGAGAGTACTGTATCGGCCAGAATGACAGATTGAAAATTGGGGTTTACTATAGTTTTCGGCTCTCTCTCACTCTCTCAGTTTCGCCCTCGATCTCTCGTTCTATCTCATTCTCTCCCTCTCTCTCCCTCTCCCTCTCTATCTCACGGTCCCTCTCTCATTCTCTCCCTCAATGTGTAGCCATAGCTAATGAAGGGGTTCGTGAAATAGAGCCTTAGCCATCGCCTTTGCCTGCTTCTTTTTCTTCTGGCCCTCCATTGGCCCTCCACCTCCCAAATCTTGCTCCCCTCCTCCAGACCCCCGCACATCTTCGCGCTCTCTTTTCGGGTGCCTTTTTGGCTTCTTTTGATTCCCATCTTTTGCGTGTGTTCCTCCTCGGCTTTAGCCTCGTTCTTTGACCCTGCTTCTCGAGTTTTGCGCCTCGTGCTCCTTGATTTTAACATTGGGTTTTGACGCTTAAAAATGGGCCTTTTGGGCTTTTCGTCATCCCTAATTTTCTGTGTTTGCCTCCCCGGCGCGAGTCTTAATTAAAGCCCAACAACGTGACAGGATTGCGTCGAAATCTTGCGGCTTTTCGGCCCGAAATTGTCAAGAGGTACTATTTTGGGGTGTCACTAATGAAATATTTCTTGCGGGAGGGGGCGCCGAATGACATGTTGCGAAAAATGGGGAAAGCTGTAACCTTGGAATTTTTGCGACTAAGAAAATTTGACAATTTTCCACAGTCCTTAAACATTATTGCCTGATAAAACCCAGAAGTCTTCAGCTTAAAGAAAACGCAAGCAGAAACGGGGTTTTAAAGGCCGAATCCCCTAAACGATAATCCGAAAGCCTAATTCCCGATAGCCAAAATCCCATGAGACCAAAATCCCGACATCCGACCGGTATTTTGGTTCTCAAAACCGGGGAAATCGAAATACCGACATACAAAATATCTATTTAAAAGCAAGAGACTCCACCCGAGCCAAGAACGTGTCTGTATTTTGGCTGTCGGTATTATGCGGGTCGGGTTGGATCGTCGGGATTTTGGCTGTCGGCATTAATACGCTCGGGTTCTTCGCTGTCGGCATTACCGTTGTCGCTATATTGGCTGTCGGTATTTTCGTTGTCGGTGCTTTGGCAGTCGAAGTTTTGGCGGTCGGATGTGTCCGGGATTTTTGATGTCGAGACCTTTCGTGATTTCGATGATTTTTCATGCCTTGAATTTTCTAAAATCACCATTTAACTTTCTCGAAGCAATTCCCTAATGCGCGACCGCATTTCATTCTGATCTCCAAAATCGGGACCAGTAGACAGACGGCATTAGAGATAGGCTCCCCCTTTCTCGGCTTTGTCGTCCCGGGCAACCGGGCCGGTCATTCCGAAGAAGAACTCCTTCCGCCACACACAATTCTCTGCACCCCGCGCTCCTGTGTTCCTTCTGCCCATTACATTAACCGCCGTGAGATGCGTTACGTCACCTTCGCGAAAATTCAATAATTCTAGATGGCGGATTGAAGCGTTGAGTTCCTTTTTCAGCTTATCTTTCGTTTTCCCTCCTTTTTTACACCTTCCCTAATTGCCGAATTTTTAGAAAATTCAGCTCCTTTTTTGACAAACATCATAAAGAATTCTGTTGCCAAAATCTAAAGACCATTTCCCCGGTGCCTCAAAGCCGATCATTTCCGGGCGCTCTGAAGCACTATAATTTGGTTTTTTGCACAAGGCAAAATACGAGGAAGAAAAGGAAGGGAGAACTTTGGTTTCTTCCTTTAGGAAACTATACAAAAGACGTGCGTGCCAGTATTTGGTAAAAGATTTACATTATTCCCATGGCTTTTCGATTTTCCCGTGAAAAATTCTAAGGCCGATAGGAAGGCAAATTTTTACGCGTTTGCTTCTGTAGCTTTCTCTTTCTGTCTCTCTCTATCTCTCGCTCTCTCTAACTCTCTCTGGCTCTCTCTCTCACGCTCTCTCTCTCTCTCTCTCTTTCCGACATTCGGTAGTCCATATGTAAATTAGGTGATGGAATGGAGGGGTGCTCGGGGGCCGGCCACTCGATGTCCCCATTCGAGCTGTGCGCCCACGACGATATCGCCTCGGCAATTGCTGTTGACCCGGTGCTCGGCTTTCGCACTCATAAGATGAACATTGCGTAAGTTCGAACTTTTAAAGGAGCGTTCTAGTCAAAAATCCTTACACAGTCATGCAAATAAGTATTTTCAGCTTCGTCCCCCTCTCCGCGCGGGAACAACTCCGCTGCAAGCAGATCATCAAGGAGTTCAGGGACGACGGGAATTTCAGCAAATGCGTTCAGCTTTTGAATGAGGTATGAAGAATATCAACTACGAAACTGTACTACTTCCAGATACCTTTCCTACAAAAATATTTACGGCCACAGACTCCACGTCAGGTGGCAAATTTTCGGATACATGTAAGTTGCTAGTCAGAGAGATAAAGAGAGAGAGAGAGAGAGAGAGAGAGAGGCATAGATAGACTTAATTTTCCAGTTAATACGCTTCCTCCAAATGTACCACATCGACGCCGGGTTCACAATCCAAAAGTGTACTCGTTACGCGGCCGAGGGTCGGTTAGGTGCCATGCTTGTTGCGACCAGAAATTGGTGAGATCTTCATCCATCGTTTTTACAGCGTAATTAGTCAAATTCTCGAAACATTGCCTCGCAGGCCAGAATTTCTGAGGTAACGAAGCCACTTTCCAGGAATAAGTTGGACCGGATCGAGGCCCTAATGGGGGTAATCGGGGAGATGAACAAGGACGAGGAGGTGCAACTTTTGAAGAAGGACCTGAACGACTTCTCCGTTATGTACAGTACTAGGTGAGGAGAGAGAGAGGGAGAGAGAGAGCGAGAGCGAGAGTGAGGGAGAGCCAAATTCAATACCGCTTTCTAGGAGGAGAAGAGCTCAACTGTGGCTAGGCCCCGGCTCCTACATCAACCATGATTGCACCCCGAATTGCAAATTCGTGCCTAGTGGTAGTACGGCCATCATTCAGGTATTTTTCGCATTATGAAGACTATGAAACAAACGTCATTAGGTGTTGCGTACACTGCGGGTCGGCGACGAAATCACCTGCTACTACGGCGACAACTTTTTCGGGGACGGGAATGAGCGATGTGAATGCAGGACATGTGAAAAGTGAGGAAAGAGAGAGAGTGCGAGAGAGAGGAGAGAGCGCGAGAGAGAGAGGGAAAAGAGAGGAGGGGGGAAGAATAGCTACATTTTTTGCGTTTCTTCAAATTTTTTCGTTCAGAGAGTGCAGAGGAGCCTTCCGGAAACCAGGAGAAGTAGACGAGAATACTAATACTTCACCTACGGCTCCCGGACCAGCTCACAGAATGGAATCGAAGAAAGGAACGAAGCCACCGTTTCTTGAAGTCACGCAAATGGCCATGAAAAGAAGTACGAGCTGAGAGAAAGAGCAAAGAACTCGAACAGCGACGAGGAAGTTGAAGACGTTCAGAAGGTGGTAGACGGTCAGTGTGAATTTTGCAGCTTTTTTTAAAACTGAGTCATTTTTTAGTCTTCGAAATGGAGACGGACCAACTTATCGCGCGGTTACGACCTCGAATCCTGGCGACACCAAAGGTCGAAATACCCCCGCCGCCAGAAATCCTGCTGGACTTGAGCCCGAAAAAGAAGAATGGCAAGCACGGCCCGGAACTGATTGTCGAGCAGATCAAGGAGCTAGCAAAGCCCTTGATAAAGAAGAAAAACGGCGTGCATAAAGTCAAGCGGAAACGTGAGTTACAAAGATTTTTACGCAGGTTTAAGGTATCCAAAAACGTAAAATGCACATACCATAATCAGCAACGCCGTTTAAAGCTTAAAGTCTACAGCAACTTCGTAAAATCTAATTAAAAACCAAAAACGACAAAATACGTTTTCAGCTCGGCCTCGGATCAACCACACCGGCCCCAACTTTGACCTGTACTTGCCCAGGATGTTGGCAGTCCCAGAGCCAAAAGAAGGCCAACGATACTCTAAAAGAATACGAGGTAAGTTAACTATCTCTATAAATCATTAGCAATTTCAACAAGCTTTAACCTTTTTCAATCCATTACGCAGAATATTTCCAGGCGTCGACCCAAACAGCGCCCAACAAAAAGCCCTCAAGTCCCAAGCAGAACCCGAGCCCGAGCCCGAGCCTGAAACCTGCCGACAAGTCGAACGGATCCCGTCTATGGACGAGGCGATCATGATGGGGCCTGTCGAACAGGAATACCTGTCGGAAGCGGAGGAGCAGCCGGAGTTCGACCCGGAAATGCCGGTCCTCTGTCCGGAAGTGACACCACCGCATCGGGGCCATGATTTTTACAATGCAATTCAGGTAAAAGCGTCAGAGATTTACAGAAAAACAACTAATATCATTAAAAATACAGCCTAAAACCTTAAAAATCCCGTCGAACATCGAGGAGAAATGGTGCGTGCGCAAGTTTTGAAGGGGCTAGCAGAGCCGGTGCCGTCGACTGGACGAAAAACAGGAAAGCGTTCTATTCGCAGCGCGCGACGGTGCTGGCGAAGGCGCTGAAGCGCACGAATACAATAAATGAAAATCTGCGCCAAATGTGGGTGCTTTCAATAAATAATAAATTCTAAATAAATTCTCATTCGTTTCCAAAATCGTATATAAATAATAATAAAAAAGGATCATAAAGAAAACAAAATTTAAGGTAAAAAATACCAAGATTAACCCTTTTAGGAATCCCCCACAACACCAACGATAAACGGCCATCACCCCTCATCAGATTTGGCCTCTTCCAGCTCAGCACCCCGGTTTTTCGATTAGCCCTTTTAGCAGCTATACCTATTCTATTCTTTTTTAAACTTTTAATATGTATTTTGCCCAAAAACACTCTTTTCACCCTTTCGCCGTCAGGGGATATACCCGGATCTCCAATCACGCACGACCCTACGTTTTTTGCAACTTGTTTTTCTTTCTTTCAAAAAAATCTCTGTGTACCTGTACGACCCACTTCCCATGAAAAACTTGTATGTTATTGAAATCTCAGCCAATTTCTTCCTCAACTCGTCTGTTTTTTATAATCAGCCAGTAGTCTTGCCACGTTCTAGTGGACCCTATTGACATTACAGGACCTCATATCATTTTTCTATAACTTTTTAAACAAAAACAAGGTATGTAATTAATTTGGGAGGGATTGTTTTGGCTTCTAAATATTTTTAAAAAAGCTAGTAGAAGCTATTTCTAACTTTCTCGAGATATCTAAAACAAAAGACAAACACAACTGCTTTTAAAAGTTTAAAAATACAAGAAAACTAATTTCTAACTTTCTAAGTCCCTCTAAAATAGAAAAATACAAACCAAAACAACAACCCAAACCCCTCCCAACCACTCTTCCAATTTTCACATTTCCATATCCCTTCAAACGCCCCCACTTTCAATAAAAATTCTTCCAGCTTTATGAGCGAAACACTTCATAAAAGACAACGATCCGAGCCCCCATTTCTTATTTCTTTTTGATGGACACTGACCACTGTAATAATCTCCGGCGACATAAATTTATTTGTGTGTACACTACAAAGGAAACGCAAGAGGCAACAAATGAGCAATCGAAAGTAACAAACGATAACAAGGGGAGTATGGGAATTCGAAAAATAAGATCTGGTACCGGCTAACCGCGAAATATAGGGCAAACCTAGGCTTCTTCCGTCGCGGCGGCCACCTTCTTTCTCCGCCGCGTCCGCTTTTTCCGCTTCCTCGATCCCAACATCCGTAGCAACTGCCGGAAGTTGCTGGACAGGCGCCTTCTTCTTTTGGCAGCTCAACGAATTGGCGTTCTAGACGGAATTTCATGCATTTTCTCCAAAAATACCTTTGCTTCGACTTCTTCTTGACGAAGCGGGCTGCACGCCGAATTCTTTTTCTTTCAACTGCCTCAGGCGCCCAATCTCATCCTTGTCACCGGAAGCTACATCCTAAAAAGTCCTTAATTTTTTGTAGCTCTTCCCTACCTTGCTCCTGCTCCGAAATTCTGTCCAACAAAATGGCGTTGTATTGATGTAGAGGTGGGCAACGCCTGGGTAGCTAGGTAGTTCGTCGCGCAAATTTGGTCAGTCCCAAAATAAAGCTTACGATTAAAACTTGAAATTTACCTACAGGGCAAAGATGGTATTTTTTTCGGGCGGTCTTTCATTTTCCGGGCCAACTCCGCAAAGCATTCGCTCGCCGGTTTGGCTTGGTTGTGCGGACATTCGGCAATCTAAACGGAAATACTACATTTTTAAGAACGGTTTACTACCTCAAATTGTCGACAAATTGCCGTTGCTCCATATACCGGGCCGCCGAGGAGCTCTAAAATCATCATTTTTCTAAATCCCGCCAAAACTAACCCAGTTCCTCATACACACACTTTGTCGTACATATCAACGTCTCCTCGCCCAAATATTTCGAGCATCAGTCCTCGTAAATTGATCTTGTCGCGCAGGGCCGCCATGCAAAACGTCCCATCAATGAGTACCCTAAAAACTTATAGAGAAGTTCCTACTCGGTAGAGTATTACCGAAACGGCGGCGTGATCTTGAAGCTGCACTTGAAAAAAGTTGAGGATCTTGGCCGCTCGTTTTACCTGTTTCACCTTCATCTCGACGGCAGAGTTATTTCTTCGCTTTGGCTTGCTAAAGCAACGCGTTTAAATACAACGTTTTTCATTTGTTGCTTGAAACACGGGATCAGCTTCTTGAACTCGGCTAGACGTAAGTGTCTTTCTTGATTCGCTCGGCGTTGGAGGAGACGCAGGTTCCGTAGGCGGTGGCCTATAGCAGGAAAGTTGTATTTTTTTTACTAAGAACATACTTCAGGCGCACAAGCGGCAAGGTAAACGGCAAATTGGCTCAGCCGCTGCTCCCGCGGCATAAATTGCTACAAAAAAGGTTAAAAATAGCTATTTTTCAAAATGAAATTTTATCCAAAGACTCGTACTCGTGTTAAATATCCAGCGCTTGTCAACCATTCCTGTCTTTTGCACGTTTCGCCTTCAATTTCTCAATATTTATTAGCACAGAAGCTGAGAAAATCACACAACCCGTACAGCAATAAGGGATAACAACATGAGGAGGAAATGCACAGAAAGAAGATTGGCCTTCAACTTTGGCAATACAAGGGGAAATTGTGGGATCATAAATTGGGATTGGGATTCAACAATTCCAGCCAGTATTGTGGTGTACAAAATAATAATAACAAAATGAGAACTTTAGAAGCCAGTAGCAGGTTGCCCGAGGTAGAGCTTCGGGACGATGGCCTCCAGCAAATTCTCTTCTCCGGAGCAGCACCTCAGCTCAGCTTTAGGTGTCGAAAATATCATTAGGTGCTCGTTTCGGGTGGCTGATCCGTGGGCGACGTGGATCGTTTCTGTGGAGGAAGATGGGTTTGATGTGATGGCCGGATTGGCTGTTCTAAAAGAGACAATAAGACCAAATTTTGAGAGCGTATCAATACATAAAAATACTCCGGTCGCTCGATACTGGCGATCACACGCTCCTTTCCTCGGGGGTCGCCGTTTGCAGCATGAAAGCAGTGGTGTCGTCGATCACTTGGGCGGTAGATAATCCGCGAGGTGAGACACCAAACAAAATAATTTTTTCACACTATTATTATTATTCATTCCAAAGACCAAAAATAAATACTTTTTTTAAAGCAACACGTCTTCTTTATATCCGCCGTTTTAAGCTCCAAAACCCACTCGTAGTGTCGTATCTTGTCTTCAAATATCTTGGCAACAGCATGGGCTTCACGCAATCATGCGCTTCGATAACGAGCCTGCAGGGAGGAGCTCGATCTCGATCTCAGGGTCTTGCTCCGTTACTTCCAAGTAGGTCATCCTCGAGTCTGGAACCAATATAGAAAAATATTTTTAATGTTTTTTTACATTTCTGACGAGCTCGTGCCCGGATTCATCGGGCGTCGGCGGTCCTGTCGAAGATTCGTCGAGCCAAGCTGGTATCCGTGCCTCAGATTCGGACTTGTCAGGGGAAGGTGGAAGTGGCGTGGAGTCCTAAGAAACGTGTAAACCATGTTTTGGAAAACGAATACCCGATTTCTGGATTCCGCTTGTCTCCGGCTTCATCGGCGGGGGTGGCGGGGCGGGCTTTCGTGAACCGAGGAAACGGTCAAATTGCTGCTGTACGAGGTGTTGGAATCGGTGGTGAAGGTGGAGTTGTCAGAGTAGAGGTCCACTGTTAGAATCAAGAAACTAAAATTATACACAAATCTAATAAGTTTTTGCTGTGGTCGTTTTTCCAAACTTTTTTCAAATCCGGCCAGGCAAGGTCAGTCGAATTCCAAATACAGCTCATTGCTATTCCAAAGCTTTCCAACTTGTAAAACCACAATCGATCCCGTTGGGGCCAACATTGTTCGGGATCTCCCTCGACTTTCTCTTCTTCGGCGAACTCGACCCACATCTTGTAGTCCTGAAATAAACATGAATTTGTAACCAGCATTGCAAAAAGCCAGGTCTTCAAAAATAAAAAATAACATACATACTCATCGTACACCTCTTCCACGTGGCTTTGTGGTTGCGTCAAGCTGGGCTCTGAAGGGAGTGGAGGAATACGATCTCCCCCATAATCCATACCTTCCGGATTCGCGCCCTCTCCGTGACCATTCTGGGTAGGAGTTCCGTTTTCGCCATGTTCCCCGTTCATCTGGCCGCCGTCGTGTCCGTGGTGGCTCGAGGAGGTTGGGGCTGAAATATACATTTATCTTTTTCAAAACAAGCACAACCATTCTTTTAAAAGACCATTAAGACAACACAGCCATCTCGATCCCCATTCTCAGCCGGTTCGTGCTTGATCTCGCCCTCCTTCTTGCGCTTCTTGCCACGGCCCTCCGGAATATCGCCTAAAACCATGTATTCGAGTACTCAAATCGGATTTACGACCCACGAGACTTAGAAATAAGCCATTTAAAAAAGCAACATTACTAATTTCAACGTTTCACTTAGTCGACGCAATAAATGCACTAAATTCACCCACCAACATCAGCAAGCTGCCGGGCACCCGTTGCCCACGGTGAACCGCCTGGGCTTTGACACCGTCAGCATCGCCTTCTCAGCGCGTCCATGCCCGACGTGTTGCGTGTGAAAATCTCGGCCTGCTTGCTCTGCATGTCATCGTAGATTTTGCGATCGGGCCAAATCTGCAAAAAAGCTTCATTATCTACGCTCAGCAAAAAGCCCACCTTCCTCAATCAGGCGATCGAAATTCGGATCCGGGCGTAGCGATCGCCTCCTGACGGTTTTTCCGGCACGTTGACACTCCTGTTGCCCCGTTGTAGTGCCGTGGTGATGCATTCTTGGCAGAACTCGACGCAAGCATCCCCGTAAGCGAAAAAAGTCAAAAGATTTTCGCCAAAACTGACCCTTGTCGTCATCAGCCTCGTCAGCAAATCCAGACAAATCGGGCACAGCAGCTCGATCTGTAGCGTGCGCACCGTCATCTTGATCGGGGCCGACTTGTCGTTGTAAGCTTTGTGTGGCTTATGTTCCTGAAGTCAAGTTTGAGGCCCGAGGCGCTAAAGATGTTAAGCAAAAAAAGATACAACTTCACTAACCCGATCGTAATCCGACAACTCGGTGTCCCTAGGGTCTTGAAATTCCCAGAGAACGGTAGCCTGTCAAGCGCTGTTGAGCCGTCCATCTAAAAATAATCGTTATTTAGAATAAAAAATCAACAGAATTGTAATCAGAATTCCGATGAAAGAGAAATACGAACTAGCAACGGTACTGGTAACAACAAAAATAATATCCCGTCTCAGATTTTACTCGAGAGCCGCCAGTTGTGCGTACCAAGAAAGAAAAAATGGCCAAATTTTGGTTTTATTTAAGGCCGCTGCCGGCAATGTCGATCCCCCCATCAACAAATCGCGCCGCCAACAGGGAGAGAGCGCGCCCAGAGATGCGAGACATTCTTCCGCGCGCACCGATTGACCTGCCGTCGGCACCCTTTAAAAAAGATTATCATTTAGCAAAAAGTCAACAATTTCCAACAATGGTACGAAAAACAACTAATGACAGACCACGCACCAATTGCATGAGCGTAGCGCTTTATTTTGGAGTAACATCGTTAGTTTTGCTAATAAAAATTCTTGAAAAATTATGGTTTTCGGTGTTAACTAAATTCTTTCTGTCCTCCAAGAATAGGTTTTTACAAGAAGAAACCTGATAATGCGATTAAAATGGAATTTCGAGCCCCGTGGGCGTGAGTTTTCTTCAGTAAACACAGCAAGATTCAAAATTATCAGGTACTTCCATATTTTCAAATCCCCTGGCTTCTTATTAAAGCTCTATGCCTGTACCTGATGAATATTGGAAAAATCAGAAGCCCGTAAAACCTTTAAAATTGAATTTCCAGCTGACCCGGGGCCCTATAAATCTCACGATGAAGAAGTAACCGGGAATGGCATGGCAAAGGCCATGTTTGAGGGGATAAAGATGCGTTATGGCCGACGACGGCGAGGATTAGGCTGTGGAAGAGAGTGAGAGTGGGATCGGGGGTTGGGGGGGGTTACGGGTAAATAAGAAACGAGCCGCCGACCACGCCGGCGTGTTGAGTCAGGTTTCTTGCATTCGAAAATATTTTGCGTATTTTGCGCAGCTTTACCTTGGAAATATTACTAGAATCCCTGTAAAGGCAGCATTTTAGAATGGCCAGTAAACTTCTTTGGGCGGTGGAAAATGGCGATTTGGATGTGGTGCGCGAGAATGTGGTTTGTTGAAGAAATAATGATAAAAATATATCTTTTGTAGAACCGTAAGAACGTTGATGAGGTAGTGAAAGCTGGGCGGAACTCGATGCACATGGCGTGTGATTATGGACAGGTCGAGGTTGTGAAGTATTTGATCGAGAATGGAGGAAATGTCAATGTGGGTCTCTAAATATGAGGAAATACTAGTAACTTTCTAAAAATACGTTTCAAAACTCGTTGCAATAGTTTTCTTTATAACGATAATTATCAGGGCAATATCGTGAAAACCAATGAATTACAGCTCGCTGACAAGCACGGCATCACCCCGCTCCTCTACGCCATTTGGGAGAACCACATCGAAGTGGCCAAGCTTTTGATGGCAAAAGTAAGTTGAAAAATAAAAGCTGAGATATGTGAAAAAAGAAGCTGGAAAAGTGAGAAAATAAAAGGAAAGAAAATGAAAGAAAGCAAGCCGGCCCAGGCCTTCCGGTGCGTTCCAAGGGCGGTCGCGTAGTTTCGGAAAAGCTACGCTACGCTCCGATTCACTTTCATTTCTCTATGTATTTTAAAGGGATATGACGGCATAGGTCGCTCACCCCTGATCGACTTTTTGGCACGTGGCCAACAGGGCTGAGAACGCGTACAGGGGCGAGACGCAGAGACATTTTCTTTACCTGGCGTCACCGATTACTTATGCCGTTGTTATCCCTTTAAGTGGTAATCCCTTTAAAATAAGTGACATTACGAAAACAAGCTAAAAAATTCAGGGCGCCAACCGGAACGTGAAGTCGCCGTTGAACGAGCCGTTGCTAGACTGTGCCACCAGCGACGAGATGAAAGACTTGCTCAGGAATTACATCGCCTAATCGCTTCTGACTTTCATCTTTTTTTTTCGGCTTGTACTTACTGATGTATCTAGCTACGCAATCATAGTGCTCTGCTTCCCTGTGCCTCTTTTTTGCATTTTCTGGAGTTTTCTCGACCAAAATTCGCTTACCAAAAATGGAGCTTTCCCCCAAATTCACTTCACTTGCAATCCATTGAGTGTGATACGCTTTTATATGGCTTTTGGCTGTGTTTTTAATAATAAAGGGTTTTGGCTTTTAAAAAAGCGTGTTATCATAAAGGCGGAATTTCCAAAATATGGTATTTTTAGAAATGGATTTTTCTACCGAATCGAGTTTTAATGGCGTGAAAACTCTTTTAGCTCGTCTAAAGCAGCGTTATGAATTTTGTTTATAGATTTCATGACGAATGATCAAATTCTGGATTATTGGCCAGCTTCCTCGCGCTTGACAAAGGCATTGGGAGAAAATAAACCGAAAGAATACAATGGACGTTACCCGGGATAAAGTAAGTTAACTTTAAAGGATTTATCAAGCAGAATACACTCTATAAAATGGCTTAAAAAGAAAATGGCCGCTTCAATGGCCTCTTAAATGGCTTAATAAAACGTAATACATTGTATATACATTATCAGCGTTAGAATTCTAGGCAAGACTTCAAAACCGGCGCCATTCCGCAAGATGCCGGAGAATTTTTGCAGAAAATTAACACCGCGCCCACGGAACGAGAGCTGACCGATGGATTATTAGGTTTAATTGTAAGTTTTTCGGTATAAACAAAAATCATATCAACATTTATTTAGAAAAAATGCTACTTGGAGCTGGCACTGTGGCAGACTTCGGAGATTCTAGCCAAAAATGGGCATGGTTTAGGGACTGTTGGGCAGCCAAAATCAACAAAAGCTTTCGTGTATAAGGTAAGTGAGGTATTTAATGTAATAATTTACACGGAAAAATTTAGATTTGGTCCGTGCGGTTTCAACTTCTTTGGGGGCTGAAAAAGTACACGGAATTGGCCGATGAAATGCAACCGTTTGAAGAGTTGGACGCCCCGGATTTGTATTATCAATATTTTCCGGAGAATGGGGGAAGAATAGGTACGTTTATACCATTTAAAAATAAGCAAACTCGGAGTTCAGTGATTTTTTCACAACGAAAAGCGACCTTCGAGTTGAACCCGTAAACGGCATGTTTTTTATCATTTTAGGCTCGATGATTCCGTTTGCCTTCCGGTTGATCCACGCCGAAATCCTCCGATTTACGCCCTACCCTACGGGCGGGCCCGGGCACTAAAATTCCGCTGCACGGTTCCTATCGCGCGCCCTAGTGACCGTAACCCACGGGAGCCTCCGCCCAGGGGCTTCTGCCTTTTCCGCCCAATTTTTCATAGCGTAATAGCCAAATAAACCCTTGGCACGCACAAGCGTACAAGAATGGGCAACTGCGGTCGAAGAATTGAATAATAAATTTTATTTAATAAAAGTTGAATACCATAACAATTTGCGTAAAGCCATAACAATTTGCATGACGCAATAACAATTTTGCATGACGCAATAACAATTAATTAGTAGGAGCTATTCCTGAAGTTTTCTTTTTGCGGCTTTGGACTGAATTCTGTAGTTGGCTGATGCTTGACGGATAGGGACATTTGGTTGTTGACGCGGAGCGATATTTTCCTTGTTGTTGAAGCCCTTGCCGACTTGTAGCTTTTCTTGAAAATCTTGCTCCCACTGGTCCAGAATATCTTCGTCATCACAGTCACCAACTGCGTACCATAGAGCATTGAGCATCTATGATTTTTGATGTGACAGGTACCCAGGAACCTACATTTCTCAATTTCTCGACTTTTTCTTTCTTGTGATCAATTTTAGGCAATGAATCGACATTGGTTGTAAGGTCATCGGAGACTTCTACGATGTCAAATGGGACTTGATTCGAAGAAGCTGGAGTATCTGGAGGGGAGATGAGACCTAACTAATTTTGTTTTTAGAGAGGAATGCGTAACCTGCGATGTGTAATGCATGTATATGGGCACAAGAGACGCCCTTCATCGTGTCGCTCAAGCACTCGCAAAAGAATTCATATGGACAAGCTTGGCAATATAGACAGTGAGCATTTTTCTCCTAGAGAAGATTTAAGATAGAATCTGGCATCCATACCCCGCACTGGCAAATTCGCGATCTGGTAACGCGGTAGATTTGTGAGGTGCTTTTCGATTTAACACCCCAAACGTCATCGTCGAGTGCAGAACATGAGGTGGCCGTGTATAAAGTAAGTCCGTTCTTGTGCCTTCGAGAATTCTCTTCCATCCGCTTCGTTGGATTGAGAGTCCGGGCGTCTGTGACGCAGAGATGAGCATAGTACGTCCTTGGATAAGCGATCAGCCGATCCACCAAGGCATCAAGCCGGCCTTGGCGTTTCGTATAGATGTGGTCGGACTTCAGTCGACGATGCCACGATTCCGCGGCCATCGATGTGGAAAACGGCGCCTCGATCCGCGCCCATGCTGCCCATTCAGCTTGTCTACGCAAGTGGTTCTTCTGGAGCACGAAGTAATAATGGAAAATGTGATATTTTTGTACCTCGTAATACTTTAGGAATTCTGTTTCGTCGTTTTCTTCGAGCAACTTTAGGACCTTCGCCAAGTGACGGTCGAAAGCCGACTTTGTGGATAGATTAAGCAAAATACGGAAATCCTTCATCAACATTTCGATAAGTTCTTTCTAAAGCAGCCGGTTTGTCGAGCAAGAAAGTATTACGTTTTTTAGGCATCTCTTCAAGTTGCGACTCAATACTTGAAGGATGTGCCACTTGCACAAAATTTTTGTAGCAGTAGCGTTGGGAAACGTAGATTTAAACGCGGCCCAAAAAACGGGATCATCGTCTGACATAAAGTAATTCGGATTGAAGTCTGGATGGATACGCCTAAGTTTGCATTGAAAAGAAGCTAGTATGACAAACTGGATGGCTTGGAACAATTGTTCGACGTCGGACGTCCTCAACTGTGCCGTAATTAGGTATGCAACTGGTAGTCCGCGGTCAAGCTCGTCCAGTACCAGGATAGTCGCTAGCCGCAGATCGTAGATCGTGACACCAAATGTGTCATCGATCACTATTCCCTTGTGTGAGTACTTTTTGAGCCATTGACGTTGTAAAGGGGTGGAAGCAACTGAATCTATTTTAATCAACAGCGGCGCCAAACCTAGGATGAACCCATTTGCAGCTGGGAGATTTGTAGGCTTTTCGAAACATAGTATCCCATCACTTTCATCTCCTTTCTCAACGCGCATCTCCAGAGATTTTAGATCGATATTGTGATATTTCCCGGATACGGAGCAGTGCCGTGCTTCTACGGAGCGAATATCCTCCAACGTTACAAAAAATTCCCGCTTCTTCGGCAACTCGGCCATCAGATCGTTGGAAATGAATGGGGCGCGTAGTTTGTCAATTATCGTTTGCTTTGGTAGGCCTAAATTTCCCATATCAACTACTGACGCCAATATACCCTGCTGCAAAAGCGCTATGATCTTGTCCTCCACAAATGAATTCTTTAGTGCTAATTTTGCCACGTTCGACGCATGAGAGTGAGTTTCTACATACACAATCTTCGCTGCCAACTCATCAAGAAAATGGATCTAGATGCAATAGACAGGTGAAGCAAAAAAATCGTACCCTAACAAGCGCAGGACAAATCGAAACGCCCCCTTCATTTGTGCCGTGGGCACATCTCAAATAGCGATATCTTGCCGTTGAGCTACGGACGGAGAAACGCGCATTAGTACGATCTTCTAGCGCTTTCAACCAGTGTGGAACTGTATCGCGATCAATTGTGATCTCGCTTGACTCGAAACTAAAAACTGCATAAATGAAAGACGCCTTAATCCTACTCTTGGTCAGCGACTTTGTGTTTATCGCGAAAATGTGCTAAGAATTGCTCTTGGCTACATTCCACGATATTACACATCTCACAGTGGAACTGTCCGTCAGTCTCAGGCTTTTCTTCGGGTGGCAAATGGAAAGCCCGTGTGTGTACTTGAAGAGCGGCATTGCTGGAGAAGCGAACCGCGCAGTAGGCACATTTCAGCGTAGGCGTTCCCCGTCGCGCTATTGGGATTGGCGAACCGCCATGGAAACGGTTTTGATGCGTCTTCAAATTAAAAGCGCGATCAGTGTGATACGAGCAATGAGGGCATTGAAGGCCGGTCATCTAAATTCGCGAACTAGTAAAAAAAGCTAAAATGAAACCAACTGGAGCCCCAACGATAGAGAAAATTCAGAAAATGTGTCCTAAAAACAACCAAAGTTAGGTAAAAGCCTATTCAATCTCTTCTTCAACGCTTTACTTTTACATTCTTCGACCGCAGTTGACCATTCTTGTACGCAAACGCGTTGCCAAGGGTTTATTTGGCTATTACGCTATGAAAAATTGGGCGGAAAAGGCAGAAGCCCCTGGGCGGAGGCTCCCGTGGGTTACGGTCACTAGGGCGCGCGATAGGAACCGTGCAGCGGAATTTTAGTGCCCGGGCCCGCCCGTCCCTACCCTTGGAATTCGATGCCCAGGTTATCAGCGCTAGAAGAGGACGTTGAAAAGGTAATATGAAAAGTTTCAAAGTCCCCGCTTCTAATTTTTGTATTTTTGTAAAGCTGTACGTAGAGATACGCTCAAACGTTACGAGTTTAGATCCTGAACGAATACTCACGAACCGAAAACCTTGAAGCCTACAAAATTTGGAAAAAGCGGAAGAACTTGGTGCTGATGGCAAAGTGTAGAACGCTGTACCACTTAGGCGTAAGTTTATCACGATTTGTTACAAATATTGCTAAATTCAGTTCCATTAAACGGTTTTTCAGAGTTTTATAACTTGTAAATCACACAGACCATGGTAGTCTTTAGCTTGTTGCCTTCCTAAAATTCCCTGGCTTTTTTCGGGTTTTCGGTATATTTGGGAGCTTCCGGGCCCTTTGAATTTTGTATCTTTCGTCTATAAGTATGAATTTTTCAGAGCTATCAAAATGCGATGGGTGCGGCGAGGCAACTGAGTGATGGTGCGGATTCGGATGAGGAAAAAGCGGAAGTCGAAAGGGCAATTGTCAGAATGGCCATAGCGACCGGGGATGAAAAAGCGTTGGAATCGGTGCTGGAGAAAGCTGTCGGGTTATCGCAGAATGATGTGGTTTTTCATAAGTAGGGTTTTTCGTTACCTTTGGGTTGCCAACGGGCAGATTGTATTTTTTTTTCTAAACAAAAGCTAAAACTAAACGGAAAATAATTGAAGAGAATATTTAGGGCTCTTCGCGCCATTTTTCACGGCAATTTCACGCACGCGATGGATCACTTGAAGAAGGCGGTAGATGCTGGGGATAATCGGAATAAGGTAGGTGTCGTAACATGCTCTTGCGGCAATTTGTATACATCGTAAACATAAATTTATTTAAAAAATACCAGGGTTGAAAAGCCGCTTCGCGACTTTTCAACCTGGCCCCGTCCAACCCCATCAGATTCTTCACTCTGCATACGTTTTTCAAAAAAAATGGAAAATTCCACTCTCTCGGGTTATATATAGGCCACCGCAACTTCCGGCGTATGCTAATTATTTCCTAACAAAGAAGGCTGCCCGATATTTCAACATAAAACTTAAATTTAATGTCGAACACAGCTGAATTTGTAAAATCTGATATATGTGCAGCCGTCTCCAGACCATTACGCATCTAATGACGTATCAAACATAACTTAAAAACGTTCCCTTTCCGAGATATCCTCCGGACAGAATGACGGAAGTTGCATGCAAAGTGGCACGGACACACACACAGACACTATTTTTTTATATATAGTAGGATCATTACGCTAGTATCAGATTTTTGAAAGATAAGCTAATTTTCACATTTTCAGCAGGACATTAATTAGTTCATTCAATATGACTTGATTAACAAAATTTTATGCCTTAAACAACAATAGCTTGAATTTAATAGGTTAAGGTAATGGATATATTGTTAAGTAATCCATTTATTATTTTATAATCAGTTAATGAACAATTTCAGATGCTGAACACGCTCGCTCTTTGCCATCTGTACAGCGGAAATCCAAAAGCCGGCATCCAATTTTTAGAAAAAATCGGGCAGCCTTCAGAAAGTGCTAAAACAAATCTAACGAGTTTAACTGGAGTCTGTAGTTCAACGGTAGTAACATCACCGACTTCACCACGCCTATAACTTAACTTACCATTCCAATTTTCCGATTTCCAGCGGATCTACCCACTGCCCTCATCCACCAAACTTTGATACCCTCGCTTACCCAGAAACTTTGTGATTGTGCCCCTAACCATGGTCAGCATAATATTTATTTTTTTGTGTATACTTGATGTTATTATAGGCATAAATTTATTTATGAATTCCAATCATATATATTTTCATATGTACAGTAACCGGTCATCCCTGCACTTGTCTTGGGGCACGCAACGCCACAGCGCGTCGTACATGAAGCCTGAAAAATTGAGAAATAGAGGAAGGAATAGAGAGGCTAGCAGAGATTTTCAGAGAAAATGAAATTTTTGTAGCAATAAGAAAGAAACAGAATTTTGAGTGTTTGGCAAACTAGCAGTGGTGATTTAGGAAAAGGCGGACTAGTGGCTACCGGCGAATTTGGAATTTTGCACGAGAAGTTGGTCAGCTAGCTGGGATCTTTGCGGAAGTTATGCAAATTTTGAAAAGAGCTACTTTGCGTTTTTGCCAGGGTAAGCTAGCAGAGATTATAGGAGAGGCACAAACCTCCGCATTCGTAGGCGAGCTAGCAGTGATTTTTTCGGAAAATTCGCGTCTTTCTAGTCGCTACTTGTATGGACTGAGTCAGGCTGGCAGAGAAAATTTGGGAAATTGCAAAATTGGTGAACTGTGAGACCGGTAGCTAGCGAAGACCCCTGGGGAAAGCAAAGACTGGATCCCGGCAAGCTAGCGGAGGTAATCTGAGGAAATTTCAAAATGCAAACAGAAGGTTGGACCTACCTATGTAAAAAGTTATCTAGGTTCATAAAAGGTAACAGCTAATTTTCAAACAAAAATATTGTGGCTTTCTTGACCCACCTTCCCGGCACGTGCACCCGCGATGGCAAGCCGTATTGCACGGTTCGGCGTGGAAATCGCAGCGCTTACACGTTGGCTCCAGCCCACACTCCGTCCACACCTCATTCACATTTGGGCATCGCTCGTCCCAGGTCGGGGCTAGAACATGGTCTAGAGAAAAGGGATAAATTCTGTAACCTTTTGGCACAAAACGCCCCGATTTTGCCTAGGTCTCGACAGCTACGAAGTACACCAAATGACGAGGAATAACCAAGATTTGAGTGTTCTTAGCATTAACCGTAGTTTTCGGCACTTAGCGAATAGCAAATGTCGATTCTGGTCTTTTCCATCCTCTTAAATGGAAGCTAGAAAATCCTGATTTTTCAAAATTCTCGCCGACTGCATGACAATCTGGAAAATTTTATGTCCCAGCCCCTTTAAACGTAACCAGATGCTAATTTTGTATAAATTAACTATCATAAAAGCAAAATAAAGACAAGTACAAAGTCTTAAAAATATCCAAGAATCCTCACCCAAAGCCTGCAACCGGTCGCTCCACTGGATTGCCCGAACGGTGAGCACCAGCTGGAGGATGAAAAACAGGAAGGCAACCCTTTGCATGTAGTTTGCAGCTCCAGTAGATTATCCAATATGTTTTTGGAGTTGATGGGCTGGGTTCAGCAAGGATGGTAGAGCGGGGAAATCGGGGAGAAAACTGAAAATGGAGGGCATGCATTTTTTTGCCGTTGAAGGAGCAAGCAGCAGCACAAAAGGGAGATGCTTGATGAGGCGGGGGATGAGAGAGAAAGCGAGAGAGAGAGAGAGAGAGAGAGAGAAAGAGAGAGAGAGACTGTGTCTTCATTGTCCTGGGGGATATTTATGCCTTCCTGGGAGGGTTGAAATTGCAATCGGGGTGAGAGATGTACGGTTCAGAGGATCCTAGAGGAAATGTTGACCTATTAGCGTAAATAGTATAGCGGCCAGAGAGCGAGAGAGGGTGCGAGCGAGAGAGAGAGAGAAAACGCGAGAAAAAGGAAGTAATTTCCTAAACCATGCTAAAATCCGGTAAATTTTCGTCATGAAATCTAGCGGATGCCAGCCACCCACACTCCAAGACCGCGCCCGTTCCGCTCTTGTAACCAAAAACGTCGAGAGGGGGCGCCCCCTGGTATGGGAATTGCTTTTTCGGTATAGGCTGGGGCAGGTGCAATAACTAGCACTTTCAACACGCCCCCTCCGTCTCTTGACAATACTCGACAATGGGCGATGGGGCAAACGAGCAGAGATCGTTGAGGAAAGGGGTATTGGTTTAGGTCCGGGAATCGAGTCTAATTTTTTAGTTTTTTTTTTGTTTTTTAAAGTTTTTTTAGTTTTTGGCTTTGTCCAAATTTATTTTGTTACGCTATGGAAAGATGAAATTACATCGATCGCATCGATTGCAGCGACAATTAATGCATTACGCAATGAAAAGAACGTGTTGCTGACCCGTAAAAATCACTAGGGATCGATACCTTTTATACTTTGTGTAAAGGATCGAGGGATATCGATAACTAAGCGTCGACAGCTACGGCATCTGCCGAATAACGAGGCTGAAAACCAGTTTAAAGGGTTGCCGACGGCATGTGTCGATCCCCCCTCATCAACAAATTGGCAAGTAGCCAACAGGGGAGAGAGCGCGCCCAGGGGAGAGGCGCAGAGATATTTTCTTTCCAGCGCGTAACCGATTGACCATGCCCTCGGCATCCCTTTAAAGAAAGAAAACCTAGAAAGAAAAAAAGACGCTAGCGCGGGTTTTTGCAATGTTGCGTAGCTGGCCAAATCCAGAGGACCTTAGGTATCAATCTTGCGCGGAAAAGCTGTTCGAAAGGGCCGGTAACAGGACGCCTGCCCGCCCCAGAGCATGATGATTCCAATTTATATCCGGTCAACGCCGACGTGGCCAATCTGTTGCCATTACAATTGGCTGAACCGCTGGGCCGTAAAAAGCTGAAAAGCCGGGGGTGGTGCGGCTCTCGGTGGGAGCCCGTTGATGTGAATTGGGCATTTTGGACAAACGCACAATTATGAATTCGGAAGTTTCAGGAAGCCTCGATTCTGATCAGGCATTGCATCAAGTTTTTTTTTTTTTTGGGGGGGGGAGGGGTCTGGAACCCTGCTGGGACGGTTGCGTCAATATTTGAGTTGTGAAAAAAGTTTTGGGGTTTTGAGAATTTATTAGCATAGGTAAATAAATAAAAATGGGATGAGAGAGGTACAGAGAGATGGCTCAATAAAGACAGAGAGAGAGAGAGAGAGAGAGAGAGAGAGAGAGTGAGAAGCGCAGTTAGAGCCTTAACTAAAGGCAATTAGGCAAAACAAACCATTTGCAGTCGCCAAATTCCGCAACAGTACAAGTTCCGGTGCTGTAGCATCGGATAGCGCCACGTAATGGTCCCCGCAGACTGTAAATTGGCTCGTTCCGGACTGGTCAAATCATCCGCTAAAACGATCGTTGACGGGAAAATTCAATAACGCAAAAAAGTGATCGGGCTAAAAAACGATGCCAATAGAAACATATAAAAATTAATTTGGTAATATTAAAATACTTATTTACAGATTCAGCTCCTTCGCGTCGCTGAAACCTTCACCGGACCCTGAAAAAGGTGCACGATATTATTGTTTATCAGCGCCCAAAACCCGCTTCGCGGGCCTTGGGCGCTGGAATGGTGCGTTTGCATGAGAAATTTGACCTTCCGGTCGCTCGGGTCCTTCGGACCCCCCCCCCCACCTCACGCGCGCGTGCAACTGGCAAGAATGAGGAAATTTGTATTTTTTTCACCTTATGCAAATTAGCCCTCCTGAACCCCGAAAATGAATAAAACCGGCTTTAACTTTGTAAACTGGTATTTTATCGAAATTCTGAGAACGCCATCGGAAACAGAAGAGTCGATTACCCCAAGTGACGATGAATTAGCGCATTTTATACACGGGAAGGCCTTCAAATCGGGCCTCGAAACTGACATCCACACACACACACACACACACACACAAAGATACACACCAAAACTATATAAGGTAGGATTTTGTCTAGAAATGGGCTCGTCGCCTTGTTGCTTGGCCTGAAAATTGGAAATCGATGCGCATTTTAATGCGGAAGCACCCGGATGGTCCAAGCAAGGGCTAGATTTTTAGCAAATTCCGAAATACGACTCTTCGCCCATTAAAAAAAATCATTCCCATTAATTAGGCAGGATTTAGGCTTTGGATTTTTGTTTTACAATATATTTCAAAGTGCGTTTTATTGATATTTACAGTTTTGATGAGCTAACCAGTAGTTCTTCAGCAATAATTTTTTGACAGCTCCACCTAATATCGCCTACCAAATATTCCACAGGGTTTTCCTTATCAGCGCTCCCATTGATTTATCAATACCCATCTGGCCGGGGGGCCTCCTGGGAAAATAGCACGACTTTGTTTCTGTTTTATCGCAATCGAGCTTGATACGAATATAGTTTAGGTTTGCTTAGCCACTAGATAGTAAGCACAAAATTACGTAAAGGACTTTTTCTGAGTTTTTGATGATATTGGTTTTCTTCAAACTATATTTTTTGATTTTGCCGTTTGTCTGAAAGGCTGGAAGCTCGCAAGAGACAAGCAAGCGCCTGAAACGTGCTTCTCTCTTGCTCTCACGCTCTCACTCTCGCTCTCTCTCTCTCTCTCTCTCTCTCTAACTCCTGATTTTCAGCTCTCAAAATTCGGCCAAGATTCGGTGACCGTCCCGCGCATCGGGAAGCTTACAATTATATTTTCGGCCTCGCTCTACTCGTTTTGGCATATTATAACTTATCCGACCGGGTCACGAATATAATTCCCAAGGCTTCGATTCCCTTAAGATACGGTACGGCACCTTAAAATATGATTAACAATACGAAAACGAACTGAAATTAATTTCCCCTGTTCAGGAAATATCACCACCAAAGCAGACTTGCTTTCAGGGTGCCATTTGGAGATCTATGATCCGTTCTATGGAGACATTAACAGTACGTATGAATACAAAAACCCGTTGGCGGGATGCGATCGGAATTATGTAATTTTTGTGGTTTTTACCGGAATATTAGGAAATTTAGGTTCCAGCTACTACTTTAGACGCCTCGGGGACGCTAAAAATCATGGAAAGTTGGCTGAAAAATGTGGAAATGTGCCGAGCAAGGTTGGCAAACCAGCAAAGACATTTAGGGAATTTCGGGAGGCGGCAAGAGATGACTTATTTTAACGTAATTATCGATACTTTTAGGTGTCATTACTGGCCATACGGCCAAAATGTAACTTTTGACGTCTGGCGCGATGTCGCTCACGAAGAATCGATCAAATTCGATTGCGAATTCATCTACTCTGAATGTTTCGATTTTGCTGGAGACCTGGTTGATCGATATTTGCATGTACGATTAATTGAGACTGACTACAGGTAGGAAAATAGGTGCTTTTAAAAGGTTGCTGGCGGTCAACAAAATAAGGCTTTTTGGCTGATGCCACTTTGATCCTAGTGATCAAATAAGTTGTTCTTTTTTAGGTCCGTTGAGCCCAAAGAACCTAACAACGACAATGAAAATATGCAACCCGACGTCCATATCATAGTCTTAGATTCGGTATCATCGACCCAGGCGAGAAGGTCAGCCTTTTGCAGTTTTTTTGCTGAATGCGGACTAGCACCCCGACTTCAACGCGTTCATTCATCTGCTAAATCCGCCTTAAACTGCCTAACGTTCAATCTAAAAAAAACAACTTCCAGATCGCTTCCGAAAACGTTGAAATTCCTTCAAAACAACATGGGTGGGGTGCTGATGCATCAGCTGAATCGGGTCGGGTCGAATAGTGTGCCGAATGGATATGCTTTCTTGACAGGTTTGTTCTTTAGAAAGAAAGACCGATCCTTTAGAAGCCTAAGCAAAGCCTAAGTCAAGCCTAAGCCACGCCTAAACCACGCCTAAGCCAAGCCTACGCCAAGCTAAATCGAAGCCTAGTCCTAGCAGAAATTTTTAGGAAAACGTGTCGAATCAGTATCTCGTGGCCTGTTGGGCGGATCTGCCGACCTCCCCGTCGAGTTCAGCTATCATGACTACTGCTACACCCACATCGACAACATCTCGATTGTTTTTAAGGACTATGAAAGACGGGGTAAATCATTGTATTCGATTTTTAATATAAACTACAGGATACAAAACGTTGTACAGTATCGACTGGGGCGATTTGTGGACGTACCCGGATTGCCGGGGGTTCGAGAAGCAGGCTTTCACGCATGATGCCAGGTAGGAAGGAATTTGGGGGAAAATATACCAATTTCTGTCACTTCCAGCAACAAGAAATTTTATTTTTCAAATTTTTTTATAAATTGTAAAAAGCGATAAAACGTTTGCCGCGATTTATCACAAACGCTTTGAAGATTTCTAGACCTATCGTCGGCTCCCTTGAAGCAAGTCCGGAATTTGAGAAAGAATTGTTGGGAAAATGTATAGAGGAATGGGCCCTGCTACTCGCATACCATTCCCAATTTATGAGAAGCTATAAAAGTATCAATTCTGTATATCTAAAGCACCTCTGACGTTCCTTAGAGCACCCGAAATTCGGGTTGACCTGGGTCACCGAGTTGGCACACAACAACGCCAATTGGCTGTGGTATTCGGATCAGATTTTTGAGGTAAATAAGAGGCCCAAATTTATGCATTAATTCTTAGAATCTACACATGGGCTAAAAGCATTACATCTGTTTCAGAAATTCTTCCGTGACAACGAAAAAGCCTTGGAAAACTCCTTTGTATTTTTCATGGGAGATCATGGGCTGAGGTTTGGGCAGGTCGGGAATTTTTTAAGTAAACTGGGAAGTGTCGAAAGCCCCTGTGTCTAGACTGGGTCTAGACAGCTACGCAGAGCTCCAGATGATGCCTGCAGGGAGGGAGAGAAAGAGAGAGAGCGAGAGAGAGCGCGATAAAGAGAGGGAGAGAGAGCGAGAGAGTGAGATAGAGGAATTTGTCACGTACCTTCCTGCCTATTTAAACCTTTTAGTGGCTCGACACCACCCTCGGCAAACGCGAAATCAACAACCCAATGCTGGTGGTTACCGTACCCAAATGGTTACGAGGGAACAAAGAATTAATGGCGAACCTGAACCACAATTCCGTGAAATTGTTAACTCACTATGATGTGTACGCTACGTTACAGGATATTTTGAAGGTAGGCTGAGAGAATTTCAAAATCGAGAAAATCCCTGGCTTTAGAACGCTCGGAGCACGAATTTTACGAGCTGGAATTTTGAGAAAATTCTCGAGCCAAATCCAAATAATGGCACCTCGATATTCCGGCCACTGGGATTGTTTGAAAATAGGTAGATTACAATTTTTTTCGTTAATAAACACCAGGGTTGAAAAGCCGCTTCGCGACTTTTCAACCCTGGCTCCATCTGATCCGATGATATTCTTCTCTTTGCATAATTCCTACGATTTTTGATGACAAAAATGAGAAACGCTACCTCCCTTGCCTTATATAGGCTACCGCAACTTCCGGCGTATGCTAATTGTTTCCTAACAAAGAGGGTGGCCCATTTTTCAACAAAAAACTTAATTTTAACGTCGAAAACTGCTCATTTTTGAAAATTGTATTGGTGTGCAGTCATCGTCAGGCCATTACGCACCTAATGACGTATCAAACATGCCCTTAACTACTCCCCTTATTGAGATACTACTGGAACAACCTGACGGAAGTTGCATGCAAATGCACACTGACACACATAGACACTATTTTTTTATATATAGAAGGATAGAAAGCCACTTTAAAGTCATTTTTGAAAATTTAGAACTTGCGGCACCATTCCAGTTACGGATGACTATTGCCTGTGTAAATATGAAAAGCTGAAAAAGCAAGTTTTCTGACCAATTTTAATGAATGAATTTCCATAATTTTTTAAGGGCCATAAAAAAGTTTTTTAGAAAATCTTCTTATTTTGAGCCGATGGCTCGCTATGTGGTCGCTGAAATCAACAGAAAACTGGAATCCGAGGGAATAGCTGAAGATTGCGAGGAATTGACGCTTAATAAGGTGATTATCGTATCATTTTAAAGGTACTGGGAAGTGGCTGAATCGACGCCTCCTCCAGCTCGGTCCCGGAAAAAACGTGACGCTGCAATGCTCATACAAAATATTCAAAATTTTATTGGAAACCCAGAATATCACGGGTAATCTCAATTAACCAGAGAAATTTCGGTCTAATTTTTTTGTCGCGTTATTTGGTGTAAAGCGTAGTTGTCTACACCTCATCGTTATCAGAGGCCAAGTGTTGCGCTTCTTGGTTCCTTTAAAATAACTGGTTAGGAAGCTTTAAAGGGTCTCAGAAGGCAAATTCTTGCAAAATCTTTTTTCAGGTCGAAGACGTCCAAGCCTATGTCCCGGAAAAAGAGCTACGAATCTACGAGATTGAATTTACAGTCGATCCAAATTCAGCACGATACAGGGCTGTAAGTTTCAGATCTAAAGTACAGCGCTTTACACATTTTTGCAGCTAGACACCTGGCACTTTTGGTTGAAAGGCTCCTCGCGTATCTTAAATTCAGGCCCGGCCGGCGCTGAATTTTATAAAAAAATTATGGATTCAATTTAGTTGGTGCAGGGCGTGCCGGACAGCGGGGTTTTTCAATATTCGGGGCACGCGAATCGACTTGACGCCTACGGGAAGACGGCCGATTGTGTGGCCAAGAAGAAGCCGGCGATGCGACCGTTTTGCTATTGCAGAGATTGAAACTATCTTCATTTCTACTTATCTATCAACTTAAATTATTTCATTTTTTAAAAAAATATCACTACTTTTTAACGCGTTTTTTATATCCGAAAAATCACTATCTGTATGACGGGTGTCGAAATCTATCTAGGACTCAGCTCCAATCTGATAAATTGGCTTGAAAATTGCTCAAAATTTAATAGATTATAAAATTTTGTTTTTTCTCAGGTTCTATCACTTTCCTCGCTCCCCCTTGCCACAATATTTGATCTTCCGCTTGCCATGTTCTTGTATTTGCCGACTTTTGGCCAATTTTTGCCCAATAAATGCGTATCAATACGAGCTGGAGGATATTGATTCTTGTTGCAGATACGATTTTTCTAAAGTTTTATACTGAAATTCTATTGCTTAAAAAATCAGCCCGCGACGAAAAATATCCGGAAAGCCCGTAAAGGAAAATAAAAGCCTCCTCGTCTGGCAACAGGGTGATTCACAGCCGAAAACGCAGCCAAACTCGCCAAAATCGCCGTTTTTCCTGAACAAAGCGTGGTTTTTATAGCTTTTCTATGTTATTATAATCTCCGATTTTTGAAAACAGAAGCTTTGAATAGGTAATAGTATGTAAATTTATAAAGTTTAAGGATAGAATTTTATGCAAATTACCCCTCAACTTTCCAAACTCCTCTGCTTGGCCAACCAATTCTTGACCTCCGCAATTCCCGGCTTCTTCCGGTTGGCTGGAGCCATATTTGGCCCTCCAGCACCTCCCTCTCCACCGCCACCCATAAAATTGCATTTTCATTTTATTTCCAGGGCGCGCCCGCTAAGATGCCGATGCCAAGGAACGGGTCCCGGCTGATCAAGCAGCTGCTGTTGGTGCTCATCGGCTGCGGTGTCATCTACTACTACACCGCTCCGAGGGGGGACAACGTCTCCGAGCCGGACCACCACCGCCCGTCGAGTCAACGAAGCCCTACGGAGGAGCCAAGATTTTCTAAAGGTCAGAAATTATTTGAAATGTTCATTTGGTAGAAAGAGCCAAAATTTAATTTACAATTTAAAGTAGTAGAAACAACTATTTAAACGTCAATTTTGTGATTTTTAGCCCCCGAAAACCCGCCATCCGGAGCGAAGCCTGATATCAACCGGACACCGGAAACCGCAGCTCCGCCCCGAGTCGAGTTCAAGCTGGACGATATTACAGGTTTGGGCAACGTGGAAATAACCAGTTTTTGCCGATTTTTTAGATGTCCCGGACCTCAACTTGTTCTTGCCGAAGGAGTTCGCCCATGTTCAAGGGATCCGTAAGTTCCTTTTTACAGCGTTATCGGGAGGCTGGGGATTTTCGGTAAGAGTTCAGTTTACCCCTTCCCCCCAGCCCGCTCCCAACTTTCGTTGGCCCCTGTTCCATCTACAAATGTGTAAAATGTACCAAAATGTTCGCCTTGCTCTTGCGAGTATTTTGGTATACTTCGCACACCTGTAGATGAACAGGGAGCCGAGATACGGTAGGTGGAGGTTGGCTGGGGGGGTAAACTGAACCACAGCCGATTTTTCTGAATACTCCGATTCCCCCTCCCCCCGATAATGCATAAGCGCCGCTATCACCTTGAAAAAATCTAGGCAACAAGAACAACCGCGACGCGCTGCTGGCCAAGTGCCATCTGCCGATCTACGACCCGTTTGCCGGGGATATCAACAGCACCTACGAGTACATCGACCCGACCAAGGGATGCGACAAGAACTATGTAATTCAAAGGCTTTCGTACTTTTTAGTCTGTACTCACAGGTCCCGGCCACAATCCTTGAGGGCGGCTTCGTGAAGGTGGCGCCGACTTGGAAGAGCCGGCAGCCGAAATGCGAGGCCAGGTAGGATACGAATTCGAATGTGCGATTGATTTTTGCGTGTTATCAGGGGGCGGGGCAAATTTTTCGTACAAGCCTAGAAAGAAAAGCCTAGTAATGTAAAAATTTTATTAGTGTCGTTAGTTGTATCTTAACGCTTAACAACATTTGAAGACGGTACTAGGCTGTTAGCGGTGGGGGGCGAGGGGCCAGCAGTCAAAATTTCCGTCTTCGCATTTTCAAAAAAGTTCAGTACCCCGGTTTCCTTGCAAGCACCTTCAGCCGCAACCTTCTCGATTTCAGATGTGTGACTTGGCCATTTGGTGGCCATACCTCTTGGACTAAATTCCAAGCGGTGCCTCCGGAGGAGGGCCTGAAAATGGATTGCGACATCGTACACACCGTTTGCAAGAACGCACATGACAAAAGGATCGACGAATACCTCCATACGCAAATTTACGAAGTTGAAGAAAAAGAAAGGTTAGAATTGAAGAGAAAAACAACTTAGCTTTGGCTCTAAGCTTAC